AATTCTTATAAACAATCAGCCATGCAATGTTTTCACACAGTTGAAAACTAAATTCTAAACGTTCAGCACAATACGACAAGTCCATTTAATTATGCAAGTAGTTTTTTTTTTTACTATGAAACTAACCTAAGAGCATTTAGAAATGAATTTCAACATGCAACTAACAACAGACCAACAACAACCACCCACCTCTGGTATCTTACGTGATAATTAGTGATCATGACAATCTCCCTCCTTTTCAAAATCAGAGCAAAGTGAATGGGAGAGGTGAGAACGAGAGCCAGAGACAAGGAAGGAACAAAGGAGAGAGCGTTCACCCACTCACCTCATCCATCACTTTGCTCTGTGGGGGCAAATAAGTGTGCCTGATTAAATAAAGAAGGCATTATATAAGATGATTTAAATAAACGTTTCATCAAGGTAGATTATAGCCAAAGTCATCCTCTTTCGCAAAGAGGGGCAAAAAGAGATGATCCTCTCGACATCATCCTCTCCAAAAATACAGTACCACACTAAACTACGTCATGAAACCATCATATAACCCACAGTTTGTTGTTTTTAAAAGTCCGTCTGGTTATGAAACGAAAATGGAGTCATTATTCACACTATTTTATGCAGCCACATGGCTGTTTTCAGGTCATGTCCTCATAACCTCTTCGGCTGGGTTTCTGAGGGTGAAAGTGAGTCAGCTCATGATGATTTCAGCTCTTCAGAAAAGGCAGCAAGATAGATATAAAACAGTGAGGTACTTTACAGCAAATGAGCTTAGCCCTGCAGGAAAAACCAAGTCATACCAGTTTAAGGTGCTCAAGCTGATTTTTGGATTATGCTAGCGTTTTTTTGCTGGTCTAGAGAGGTATACCAGCTCTAACCAGCTTGACAACATGTTATAACCAAGACCAGCAGGTTTCCCAACACAAGCCGATCAACCAAGCAGCTTTTGAGTGAGTTAAAAACCATTAATGATCAGCTTGGACCAGATACCATATAAACCCACCTACGACAAGATCTGGATTTTGCAGCAGAGAGGGGAAAAAGTGGTGATACGAATAAAGACAACACAGAAAGTCAAAATCTGAAACGCAATAAAAAAAATGTTCTTCTCAGCAATAGGATCCAGAAGTGTACCTTACCGAATCAGAACTACCTGCAGGATTTACATTCTAATATTGAACAGAAATAAGTAATAAACCCGAGTGGAGATGTGTAACTTTGTGCAGATGTATGTTAGAGTGAAGGAGATTTGAAGATATTTGCAGCAATGATTTCCAGGTGTGCAAATTATAACCATAAAGCATCAAATCTCACCTCCAGCTGCATGAAGTAATTAAATTGCAGAATAAGCAAAATAATTCAACACTGGCATGGCATGAGGGTGCAACTAAGGAAAAAAACTGATCAAACAGTTCAAGTACAAAACACATAGATGAATCATTTTCTGTCAGAAGCGGTGTAATCTAGCATGAAACAAATGTCATTGTAATGCGAGGGAGTGAAGTGTGAGTATTCAATGATTGATATCTCGACACTCTAATATTCAACTGTATTTAAGCATAAAAATTACTAAGAAAGAAAGAAGAGTGAAACCTAATTTGAGCAATAGGTGAAGCTCATATATGACTTTACAATTGTAAAATATTCAAATGCTGTTTTATAACAAATCTTGGTATTGAGCTACGGGTATCCTGCTGTCTGTTATCGGAAGAGAATCATAATTTGTGCAGATGTATGTTAGAGTGAAGGAGATTTGAAGATTTTGCAGCAATGATTTCCAGGTGTGCAATTTATAACCATAAAGCATCAAATCTCACCTCCAGCTGCATGAAGTAATTAAATTGCAGAATAAGCAAAATAATTCAACACTGGCATGGCATGAGGGTACAACTAAGGAAAAAAACTGATCAAACAGTTCAAGTACAAAACACATATAGATGAATCATTTTCTGTCAGAAGCGGTGTAATCTAGCATGAAACAAATGTCATTGTAATGCGAGGGAGTGAAGTGTGAGTATTCAATGATTGATATCTCGACACTCTAATATTCAACTGTATTTAAGCATAAAAATTACTAAGAAAGAAAGAAGAGTGAAACCTAATTTGAGCAATAGGTGAAGCTCATATATGACTTTACAATTGTAAAATATTCAAATGCTGTTTTATAACAAATCTTGGTATTGAGCTACGGGTATCCTGCTGTCTGTTATCGGAAGAGAATCATAATACAAAACAATGGTGACAAATGTAACCACGGAAACAGTCTATCTATAATTACTGGACGTATAGGCCTATCTATAGATTTGTTTCTCTGGTGTTCCACTGTTGCACCACCATGCACCTTAAAATTACACACATTTATTGTGCAACAATGTTCCATTAACTAACAATAAATGCAGTTGAATAATGTAAATACAAAATTCCAATAGAATCCAGAAGTGCACCTTAATCAGTCAGAACGGCACAATCAGGGGATTTACATTCTAAAATTAAACAGGAAAAGTATTAAACCTGAGAAGTTGTCACTTTGTGTAGCTGGATGAAAGAGAGTGTGAAAGCATGAGGATATATACACACACATCACTGAGTTCCAGGAAAACGGTGCATTTTACAACCAGTGATCTGTATCAAATCTCACCTTCAACTGCATGAATTCTTAAATTATGAAGTATTAAATTGTGATTCCTGTACTGTGTGTATATGTGTGTTGTGTGACGTTTACTGACATGCTACTGATACAGAAACCAAATTCTCCATTTCATAACCCTCCCTATTTGCTTTGCACACAGCACAAACACAAAACACATGCTTATTTTTCCTTTCATAATAGAGACCTCATATAGATTAGGCTATAATATTTCCACTGGTATATTTTGCTCCAAATACGATAAAATGCTCTAAATATGCTTGTTTTCCAAAAATGTTTGTTTATTAACAAACTTGGAATGTCAATACATGAATTAATTACTCCATAAGTTTCAAGAACTGTGTAGTCTTTGGGGGGGGGAAAAAAGTTTATAATAAAAATAATCTTAAAGTAATAATAATAAAACTATTTTTTAAATTACATTTTTAAAATATACATCTTATTTCTATTTATTAGCACTTAGCATTTAATTTAGATTATTGTAATAGAACTTAAATCATTTTAACTCATGCTTTGGCTCCCTAGTGAGAACCAACTGATAGCATGTTTATTAAACAGGTTTTCTCATGCTGGCTGGCTGAAGATATTTTGGTCTACTTATTTATATACCCTGCGATATTACATAACCAACCCACTATTGCATTATATATTCATTGTCTACAGTTTAAAAGGTATATTTGTAATATGCATACATACGTTTTCTAAGAGCCAGACAGAAAGAAGAAAATGTTCCACTTATAACTACTAAAAAGAGTGCGGACTTCTCTATGCTGAGAAGAACCTCCTTTTTTTTCTTCTTTGCTCTAACATCTGGCCAGACTAAAAAGAGTTGATGGACATGAAATAAAAGTTACTCAAACAAAATGTACAGAACATCAAAGGTAAGCTTTGCATCCCTAACATGGCCTCATGGGACGATACCATCAGTGAGATTAGTATAAGTCAGTACTTGACAAGTTTCCCCCCCCCAAGATATCAATTTACCTGTTATAAAAACAGGACTTCTCTTACCCTTCCTGTAAAACGATGTAAACATGGTTCAGGTGGAGGAGCTGAGAGCTGCATATGTAAATATGTTTCCAAGGTAACACAAATGCTCTGAAACGAGCTGAACAGGATGGACACTCGTACACACTTTTGGTTAGAGAGAGAGAAGAGAAGAGAGAGCATTAGGGGATTGTCATTTTTTTAATTAATCAGTGTTTTGAAAATTTAACAATGAAGAGATCATCGTTTCAAAGCAACATGCATTATTCATAAGTAATTACTGACAAAGAAGCCGTCAGAAATGTAATTAGCAAGCGCACACACCTGCCGCGCTCCCCTCTCCCTCTCTGTAGCTTATACACAGACCCCAGACATGAAAACACAGCTTTACTGAGACGTATAAGCTAGCAAAACATTTCAAGACTCATAAAGGATGTGAAACGATATGGAGCCCGTCTTAAATGAGGGAAACAGAGCTACCCGTCCTCATGTTCAGATGCTATCAGTTAATTGGTTTTTTGGCTAAATGCTTTCGACGCTTTTGCACTCAGTAGCACATAATGAAACGTATTAAATACCTGGGTCAAACAGGACTCCTTAAAACTCCGAAAATATAAATAGTGGCATCTCATTATTAACATTAAGCTGAAAAGAAGCAGGTAAAGATTTTTTGCACTTGCATCTTTGTACCGAGGCGGGCCGGCTGGTATCCAGACGAAGCACGACATCTAGTGGTTAAAAGCGCACTACAGAGATTTGTAGTAGCCAAGTGACATTGATTTTAGTAAGAAGCAAATGCGAAGTAGCACTTTTTTATAAGTGCTGTGAAAAAAGTCAGGAAAAGCTTGGTAAAGGAAGATACAGTGTCATTTACAGCGTAGAACTGTTGATCAGATACCTTTAAGATTACTTATCAAAAAATCCTAAAGGATTCCAGTAAGAATATTGTTCCAATTAGAATTTTTATTATAATTTGGAACCATTTCAAGGAGATTCTTATAGGACTTTTTTTTTTCTGGGATCCACTGGCATCCTAATGAAATCATTCCCTTTAATGAACATCGTCTCAGCAAACAAGCTACTGCAAAGAAAATGAACAGGATAAGAACAACATCCTTTGTACAGGAAGTCCTAGATAGGAATCGTATAGGAATGGTTCCAAAATATGATAGAAATTCTAATTAGAATTCTGTACAATTTTCTTATTGGAATCCTTGACAAGGGATGAATAGTGATAAAATTGCTAATCCAGTATGCAGTATTTAAAATCTGCACATATGGGTTGAAAAGTTACACAAACAAAAACTTAAAGATTGTAAAAGCTTGACTTTATTCATAATTAGAGATGAAGCAAATCGAACTGATGCTCAATCAGGCATAAACATGTAAATAGAAACAAAGACGGTTTAAGATTTAGAGAGACAACCTCATATAAAAAAAAATAACTCTACTGTCTAAAGTAGTAACGAAGCAAAAATTTAAATGACTGACGTACACACACAAACACACCTGTGACTAAAGGTATAGTTATAATTCACTGTGTTATAAAGATATACAATTAAATAATTTAACCCACATAAGACATTAAAATGCTTCTTTTTCTCTCCCTCTCTCACACAGACACATTTAAATCTTTTGCGTGCTAGATAATTCAAAAAGCTTCATCCTCTCCAGAACAGTGAGTCCATCTTTAAGACTCTAAGAATAAAATGAGAGATAGTGAGAAAGCTTAAATTTTAGGGAACTTCAGTATTTTGTACCATGTAATGGCACAGATGATACCACCTTGGATCTGTCAGGCTGCGTAAGTGTAGCATGGTCCTTCAGGAAGCCTGGGCTGCTCCTGGATTTCGTCAGATCTGCAACAGACATTTACAAATTGTCAATAAGTGCATGCTTATGCACTTATCTGTTTGCCTTCACAGTAACATGTCTGTTCTGGTAGATTTGCTTACCATATTTTAAACTCTGCTGTCTTGCTGGCACCATCCTCAGTTTAGCGAAGTCACTTTTAGTTTTGACTTCTGAAGCACCCAGCTCAGAGTCCAGCTCTTTAAAATACTAAAAGAAAAAACATTTAAAAGAAGTATTCTCTGTGTAAGCACTGGTTGAATTAGCTTATTTTGTTAACTATTATGGTTAACATTTGTGAATAAAACAAAATATAACAAACATCTCATACTCATAATTTTTTACTTATAATAATAGATTATTATTTTTTTGTATTAACAGACTACAAAATTACTCAACATTCCCATCCCTAGTATCAATGCCTCAAACTATTGATTTGTTTTAACTGAAAAAGGTGTTACCGTATTTCCTGCCTGCAGTTCCAATTTAAGTGAGTTGATCTCCTGTTTCAGACACTTGATCTCTGATTCCTTTACTCTGAGATTTACCTACAGCATCAAAGAATGAGACAGAGCACATCTGTTTTTACACATGTAAACCCATGAAGGCTTCTTTTGTGGAAGCCGATTAAATGTACTCAACCCAGAGTGCAACTTTAATCTGCGTTCAGTCAACCATCCCCTTCTAATTTTAGTAGCACAAGTCAAATTTGGGCACTTTGCCATATGAAAGGGTGTCAAGTTTTACCTCCAGCTGATACATGTCTTTCTCCTGAGAAGACTGGGAATGCTTCACCTCCCCATTCATGTGTGAATGCATCAGGGATAATTCAGCAGCCAAAAACTCATTTAATTCCTTAGAAACATATGTAAGGTAAGCAGTAAAGCAATGGCTGTGTGAATATGCTCATTTTTGTGTGTGCATGTGGATGTACCTGGTTGTGAATGCGAAGCTCCTGGTTCTCTCTCTGTGTTGTATTCAATGCTTCCTTTTCTGTTTCTATAGTCCGTGTCAAATTAGTATTTTCCAAGCATTTCTGAGAATACTGCTCTGACAACACCTCAAGCTCCCTGTGCAATGTTTCTAGCTCCTCACTGCAGAAAATACACAAAGAGTCATATGGTTAATATACAGTTCTGCAACCATAAATTGATTTTTGATGGCGTGGCTGACAGTTCTCAGATTAATGATAGTCATCACACACGCACTTGTATTGTGCATGAAGCTGGCGGATGTCCACACCGGCTCCATTTTGCAGGGCTTTCTGAGTCTTGTCCATTTCCGCTTTGTGAGCTTTCCTCATAGCCTCAATGGCTGGAAAACAACAAATAATATAAAAAAATAGTCAGATAGAACTGTCATTTGTATTTCTAAGCATGCAGAGAACAAATGTATTCATTTAGCAGATGCTTTTATCCATAGTTAAATACAAGAGAGTAGTATACATTTAATTTTTTATTTAGCTTTGTATAGTTTTCTAATGCATGTTTCTGCTCTTTATTTGCATTGTGCAAGAATGCTTAAAAGGAAAGTTTACTTTAAAATAAAATTGTCATTTACTCAACCTCATGACTTTCAGATCTGTTTGACTTCTTACAAGGAACTCGAAAGTAGTTACTTCGCAGAATGTCCAAGCCGCTCTTTTTCTCACAATAAAATGTAATGGTGACCACAGCTGACCTTGTTTCCCACTCACTTTTATAGCATTACAAAAGAGCAGGAATGCACATTTTAAAGATTTGTAATGAAAATAAATGATAAACATTTTTGAGTTAACTATGTCTTTCAGTACAATTCTGTTCAGTTTAGTGAATTGTGCCATGTACTCTATTGTAGTCTTTGCTGTAGCCCAAATGTACTTATATGGTCTGCTGTGTTTGTGCTGTTTGAGCTGAATGAATGGTAGCTTTTGTTGAGAGTAGCACCTGCAATGGTGGCATTTGTCTCTTCCTGCAGTAATCTTTCTCTCTCCTCTGTCAGTCTCTCCACCTCTCTCTGATGCTGCCTCTGCATCTCCTCAATCACTCGCTGGTGGCTGTCCTCCATAATGCTGAAACCATGCTCATACGTGGCCTAAGATACAAAAGATATGGAGTACCTTCATTTTTGTCTATAATTACATATTAATTCATGCTGTAACAAGAAAGCTGTGCATACCTTGATGGTTTCCAGGTCAAGCTGGAAGGCCTTGACATCCTGGTTGCTAAGATCCCTCAAACAAGTCATCTCAGTCTCAAGCTCTCCGATTCGGGCTTGCAGAGCGGTCACAGAAACCTGCTCAGTCTCTTCACTCACCTCTAGTTCTGAGGGGGTTGCAGCTTTTGGCTTTGACAAGTTTTGAATGTAGTATTCATGGAGACGGCTCATCTCTTCTTCATGGATTTTCTGGAGCTCCTGGAGCTTCTCCTCAAACTCCAACTGCAAATTTTCTGCTTCTTCCCTCCTCAATTGAGCATTGGTCTCTGCTGAAACACGCTCCTGTTCTGCCTTTTTGACAACAACACGTTCCTCACGCAGCTTCTCTTCATAATGCTCTGTCTGTTCCTGGAACATAGCCTCCATACTACGACACACGGCACTACACTCACACTTAGCCTGCTCTCTCTGCTTGCGTAGGGCACTCATTTCCTGCTGCAGGGCCGAACGGAGACGACAGGCCATGTATGCTAAAGTGGCCTGACACGTTGCAGCCCTCAGGATGGCTGAGGGTAGTTCACCAGGAAAGTCGACCTCTCTAACATTAGACTGTAGCTGTGTTGAGAGGTTCTGCAGTGACTGGGCCTGAGCACGGAGCTCTACCACCAGACTCTTTCTAGAAGCAAGCTGTACCTCAGAGCCCTCAATGAAAAGATCGGTCGCCAGTTCGTCCTCTGTTTGTTCACTGTAAGGTGCAAGTTCTGGCGGGCTAATGTCAGCAAGTCTGGTCCCCTGCTTCGAACAGTTTTCCATTTTGGTTCCAGATGAGGAACTCTCTGGCCATGGCAAGTCATAAAAAAGTTCAGATCCCTTTGGCTCCTGCGAGGGATAAGTACAGCGAGTATGTATGAGGTATGCCATCTCTGCTCTTAAACACAGTCTATGGATTGCACTTTCACTCAGCGTATTGTCTAACAGATCTTGTTCGAGAGGGTCCAAGAAGATCTGAGAGTATCTAGGTTCTACAGCCCCATTATGACTGCCTCCTTGAGCCATCCTAAGGACCTGGACATGCACCTCTGACAATTTATTAAGCAACTTTGAGCTGGGATGCTCAAGAGCAGAGGCAATCCTTTGGATAATCAGTGCCTCCAGTGACGAAACTCTGCTGACCATCTCCAGAGCTTGATTTCTCCCTGAACTCTCGCCAACCAACCTCCGGCTTCCAGTTTTTCCATCATCATAAAGGGAGACTTTAGCTTTGTCTGCGGTTTTGTCTAAAGCCGTTCCCTCCAGGTTATGCAAAGCTCCAGTAAAACTCGGCTGAGAATCTACAGAAAGACGACCCTCTGGATTCTGTAGGGGACTGTGGGAGCACCAAGAATCATTGATTGCATGCAGTCCGGTGTTGAGTTGTTGCTGTTGCTGAAGATGCATGGTAAGCTCCCGGAGTCGCTCTTCGGTGTCACATAACTTGCGCTCTAGTGCCTGGATCACAGAGATCACTCTATGTGACTCGTCTCCCTGAGAAGTAGATTTCATTACCAAATCCCTCTGCCCTTTCTGTCTGCATTGTTGTGGCTCAATCAATGTCTCACAAAGAACATTACCTTCAGAAAGATGGGTTTGAGCTTCTTTGAGTCTTTGTTCAGTCTCCTCTAGACTACTGCCCAGGATGGCCATCTTAAGAAGCACTTCCTGGAGTTCACATTCCTTCCTGTCTAACTCTCGTTGTTGCTGCACCAGCTGGGTTTGAAAGCGTTCCTCACCTACCCTTTCACAGTCCAGCAGAGCACCTCGCAAACTCTGTATCTCCTCACAAGCTCTTTCATAATCATGCTCCATGTCATAATAAAGAGTCTCTTCGGTTTGGAGGCGTGCCTGCAGACGACAGACCTCACTGTCTGACTCTTCCAGCTGGTTTTGTAACTCCTTGCACCTTCGCAGAAGTTCATCAGTAACGTCCCCTGTTGGCCTTTTCTGCAGCTCAGCCTCTTTCTGCATCAGGCGCTCCTCTAGTTCATTCGATCGTTGTTCTGATTGGTCAAGGCTGTCACTGAAGCTCCTCCTTTCTCGTTCCTGGCTCTCTTGCAGGAGGCGCAGGTGCCTCTGTAGCCTGACCTCTTTCAAGGCTTGCGCCTCTTCGGTTGATTTAAGACGACCTGTTACCTCCTCCAACCGTCCACGCAGATTCTCCAGCACCTCCTCACGCTCCTTCAGAAGAGTTTCTGCCTCTTGAATCTTTAACTCTGTCCTCTGAAGACATTCCTTGCAGTCATTAAACTCAGCTTGGAGTCGGGCCTCACTGAGTCTTAACTCCCTTTCTTGAGTCTGATTCCTCTCATGCTCAGCCTTCAATTCTCTACGCAGGCTCTGAAGCTCCACATCCCACTGCCATTCTGTCTGCGCTGAAGATGAAGAGAAGGCGACTGGCAATGGAGATGTGGAGCGATCAACCTGTAATGAATTGTGCCCTCCTAAAACAGCTCGTTCTAACACACCTCCACATGTCTACATCACTGTGTGGGAAGATTTGCATAACGCCGCCCAAATGTTCACGTCAAGAAAGAAGGCGCAACTTTTATTCTCGCTGTAGTATTGTTGCTGCCGCCATGTCGTGAAGGCGCTGTGTGTTTCGTTGTGAAAGCGAAACTACTTTGTTTGGCCTTCCAAAAGAGGACGATATCCACTTCGTCATGCCTAGAGCTGATCTATGCTGGTTGCTGAGGAAATACATCAACTTCGCGCTGTGGATTGTGGTTGCCGCAAGCCCACCGGACACTCCTTTTTCGAATCCGCCGGCCGCGCCGTTCTCAAGCCCACCGGCCTCCGCTCACTCTAGCCCTCCGGCCATTCCTCACTCTAGCCGCCGGGCTCCACTCACTCAAGCCCGCTGTGTGTTTCGTTGTGAAAGCGAAACTACTTTGTTTGGCCTTTCAAAAGAGGACACGACTAGAAATCAGTGGTTAAGTTGTATTTACAACGCTGTTCCAGAACAGTTCAACCCAAATATTCAGATGTGTGCAGCACAATTTATGGAGGACTGTTTCCTGATCCTGGAAGAGTAGACTACAATGCCGGCTGTTCTGACTCACAGCCTGTAGGTTTTCATTTAAAGGATTTGCCACTGATGATTCAAACACGAGTTTTGAGCAGTGTAGAGTAGCGCTTGTTTGTCATTTCTCCGATCACAAATGCAGACATGGTTTTATGTTTATGCGGCACGATGCAACGCAACGCGTAAAAAGACGATATAAGTCATTATCACCCGTAATTATGTCCCCACTGTATGCAACAAATGCCTTGTTTATAATGGGTTTTAATGTTTTTGTCTCATTGCTCAGGCCGGGACACGGCATCACAATATGGTAAGGGGTGTAACATTTCTGTCACACGCTTGAGGTATTTGGCCAATCACAACGCACTGGATAAGCTGGCCAATCAGTGCACACTTCGCTTTTCAGACCGATGAGCTTTGTAAAAATCGACGTGTTTCAGAAAGGCGGGGCATAGAGGAGAAACAATAATGTACAGTATGTGGAAAATAATGTGGTTTTTTTAACCTTAAACCGCATAAACACATTTCATTACACCAAATACACAAAATAATGTTCTTTTTAGCAACATCATATGACCCCTTTAATTAGACTCAATTAGGAAGGATGTAAAAAAATAGTATGATGTCACAGACCACAGGATCGTTAAATAACAGTCAAATCTAAAATAACTTGCAAATTATGTAGTTCTCTAAAATAATGTCAGACCCTTGTTTTTGTCTTAATATTCCTAAAAAATTTTTTTATTTATTTTGAACTATAGTTGCATTATTTTCGGGATTAATTTATTTCTCAAGATCAAAGACAACTCCTTTCAGTCACACACTATACCATTCAAATGTTTGGATTCAGGAAGTTTTTTTTTTCTCCAAAGAAATTTTATTTAACAAGGATGCATTTAATTGATCAAAAGTAACAGTAAAGACATTTGTAATGTTACAAATGATTTTTATAATAAATGTTGTTTTTTAACTTTATATTCATCGAAGAATCCTGAAAAAATTTACTGTATCATGGTTTCCACAAAAACATTAAGCAGCAAACAACATTGATAATAATAAGAAATGTTTTCTTGAGCAGTAAATCAGCATATTAGAATGATTCTGAAGAATTATGTGACACTGAAGACTGGAATAATGATGCTGAAAATTCAGCACTGCCATCAAAAGGAATATATCACATTTAGAAATATATTAAATTGTAATAATATTTCACAACATTACAGTTTTTAACTGTATTTTCAATCAAACAAATGCAGCCTTAGTGATCATAAGTGACTTCTTCCAAAAACATTTAAAAAATCTTACCAACCACAAACTTTGGAACAGTAGTGTATAGTAAAGCATGCCTTAAAGTAATTTCTTTACATTCCATTCATTACTCAAAGCAGGTTCATTTGTGTTTGTTGGTTACAGTAAACTTCAGTCAACTCTTTACTCAATAACAGATCAATAGCAGTCCTTGTAGAACAGTTCCAAACATAGCAACCAACCAAAACTTGAAACTGTATCAGGACAAGCCACTGCAACCCAAGCTGACGTCACAGCCAGAGAGCCTTAGTGTGTTTACGATGAGGGGTCAACACATTGCTCTATCTATCTGTCTGTCTACCTACCTGTCTGTCTGTCTGTCTATCTATCTATTGCAGTAGTTGGCAGAATCTTTCACAGGCACTTATAATACCACATACATGTATACACAGGTAGGAGTCGGATTAATTAGCTAGTGTGACCAGGCATGACAGATGAGCGTATATGTGTGTTCTTTTGCGTTTATTTGTAGATGCAAATGTCCTGGTTCTGTCACCATCCTTGCATGTGCAACCCAAACCAAAGAGCCAGCCTCTTTAAAACGATTATTCATCTGAGAACATGTTCACACACACATACACTAACCTTATGCAAACACTATGAAAAACAGTGCGCACAAATCCCCATTCCCAACCAACAGAAACCACACAAAAACTTTCAAACAAAAAGCAATTGCTAATTTCAGTCACGAGAACACATTTGTCAGTCTGTAATGTGTTCAGCCAACATAGAGGGCAGTAAAATGTACTTATTTTGGTTTTGAGCATGAACACCAGGCTGCTTTTCAAGAGCTCTGCGTTTGAGGTAGTGTCGGTGAGACCGTGGTCTCTGCAAATGCCAACTTCAGAGAGAGAGAGAGCAAACGAGAGAGAAAGAGTGTGTGAAAAACTGCAGCAAAGATCAGATAGCAGGCAAGGGTGAGAGAGAGAGAGAGAGAGAGAGAGAGAGAGAGAGAGAGAGAGAGAGAGAAAGAGAGCGAGCTGTGTTTTAAACGTTCAAAGAGAGAATCATTGGCGAGGTGTCGCACCGAAACATTAGGGAATCACTGGACGTGCAAGACCCTCAGGGATGACCAAGGAAGATTACCGGAACGTCAGAACAATGCTAGGGAACATTAATGGAACATTCTGAGGTTGTTAGCATATAATCGGCAGCCTTTAGATAAGAACCTCCTTCGAATACATGTGTGCGAGTTTCCATCTGTGTATGTGACACTAAAGATGAGGACCTTGTTGGACAGTCAGGATCCCTTTTTCGTTTTTGAAACAGTGATTTTTCCTGTAGGGCAACAGTGAGGAACTCAATGGAATCATGCTTTAGCTCAACTTCAGATCTCTTTCTTACATATTTCCATGCACACGAAGGGAAGAAAAAAGGTAAGCATGCGTTTTGTTGTGTCTTAAGTGCCTGTTGACTGTACATAATCTTTCAGCTTCTATCAGCTCTGCCTCACTCACATGGACAGTCTACAGGTATTTTTTGCAACCTGTAGGTGTTTTTTTAATGTCTGCGAGTGTTCTGGTGCCTTTAAAGTGCCTCACATGAATAGAGTCATAATGAGTAGGTGATGGTCATCAACATCACATATTCTGTACTTTCCACTGTGTCATCAAATCAGTGAGGGGACTGTCACACCCAATACAGCATTCCCAAAATGACAGATGTCCCCTGAATGCTGGAATGTCTGCACATCCTTGATTTTATAACTCTATGAGCAAAATCATGCATGCATTATAAATTAAATATAAATTCAAATGAAGTCTAAATATAGATATGGTCAGTGTAATCCAATTCCTGATTGCGTAAACGCTATATGTTCAACACACAGGCACCTGTTTGGATGGATATAGGATGCTAAAACAAATCAAATCATGCAAACATTCTGGTTTTTGAAAACCAGACTTAATTTCATTGGCAAAAAAGTCACCAGTCACAACTCTACAGTTCCATTTCAGCATTACGCATATGGCGAGGGTGATACGAGTCTCAGTTCATAAAGTTTATTAAAGGAGGCTGATGCAGCTTTTCAGGGAAATGTTTTGAAGGAGCAGTGTGGAGTAATATCTGAAGTCTGTCAACTGCCTGTCAAAGTTCTTACAATCTGTCATCACTTTAAATCCTTATCATATTTGCCATTTGGGGACTGGAGGAGCTGTGGGATGGATAGAATATGTTAATTGTGTTCAAGGATTAAAATGACAGCTGTCCCTTTTGATTCTAAGTATCCATGAAAAGCAAAAAGGAAACAGAATGTTCTCTTCAGATGAAGTTTCCATCAACTACCACCACAGGGCACAGGTATTTACGTCAGATGGCCATAAGCGAGATTATATTATGCATATCAGAATATATATTTACCCACAAATCTTTCCAAATGCAACAAAGAACTGTCTCAATACAAAACCTTTTCACAATTAATATTTTTGTTGGTCTTTACTCATAGTTATGCTATCAAACCACTAAGTGGTCATTGGATCTGCTGACATTTAGATTGGAATTAGCTGACATCACATCAGGACGTAGTGAAGATACTGACCCCACTCTCTCCCCTCAACTGGAAATCTACTTTGTATTCTCACGGCTATCATTGATAAACGTATTAAGTGCTCAATTGTCTCTTTCTCATCTCTTTTCTCAATTTTGAGTGATTGTCCACCTGGATGATGACTAAAATACCACCGCATGAAGCCGACAGTCACTCCTCAAACAAACACACACACAAAATTTCTACCAGACAGGTTTCCATGGAAACCTCTATATCCCAGGTTTTCATGTGATTCTTTTAATTTAGAGTATTGTAGAACTGTGCTGCATTTTTCTGCAATCATGTGTATGCATGAAGAAAATTATATTTTCCTCATTATCACTGTTGAATCTGTGGCTTCTTAGCTATTCGCACTCACCAATATAGCAGCACCTGACACTACCCAGCCCCCAGTGTGTGAGAGTGTGTGTATTTGCGTGTGCATGCATGTGAAGTTTGTGTGTTGTGATGTCTCTGTCAGTACAGTATGTCTTGGAGCACAGATTCTTGCAAGTGTGTGTGTGCGTGCAGTAGTCGCACTGAGACAGGCATCTATTATTAGAAAGACAGATCACTTGAGTCAGGCACTGGCTAGACGCCTAAATCTGGACCCCACCAGCAGCTGCCGGCTCAGAGCTCTGTAAAAAAAAATAGCAGTGAGAAAATTTGGATAATGATAATTACGATTTCCATAACAATAAGCCCGCATACAGACTATGAGGTGTGCGCACTTCAGCACGTCACTGCGCAAAGGTGCAGAGTTTTGCAGGAAAGGTGCGAAATTACTTAAATTAGCTACATCTGTTGTGAAAAAAAAAACTGACGGATCTGCACATCTGCTCTTTCCTCACTCACAGTTACAGAGTAGCACTTTTGCACACACTCACACAGTGGAGTAACACACGTTTTTAGCTGCAGTGAGAATTCATAAGATCTATTTTGGGCCTGCATCACTCAGATTCCCTTTCATTGACTTTCAATATTTAAATACTAGAAAATATATTTATAAATATAATGGAGAGTTTGGACTAAATTCTGATTGGATGAGATGCATTCAAAGCTAAAAAATGCAGACACGGCCTCCTGTGACTGCATGTTTTATATTAATGCACAAAGTTGTTAGGATACCATAAACAATCTAGTTAGAGTAATCAACTAAATTACTTTTAATTATTATTAATAGATCCTGATATTTGTTACCATTTTTTTGTCATACTGCTGTTGCCATTTTCTAAAAGCATTAAGCCACCTGAGGCCCAGTGATTTTCCCATGGAGGCTTTAGAGCGCCTTTAACCACCTCCCATGGCTTACTGCTTTAGTTTTAAATTTTATTTAAATAATTACACAGTTTACATACACTTTGCAGAATGTCTTTGAAGAGTCTTATGCTCACTAAGGCTGCATTTATTTGATCAGACAGTAAAAACAGCAATATTGTGAAATATTTTTACAAGTTAAAATAACTGTTTTCTATTTTAATACATTTAAAAATGTAATTTATTCTTCTGTTGGCAAAGCTGAATTGTTATCAGCCATTACTCCAGTCTTCAGTGTTACATGATCCTTCTGAAAGGTTTTGTAAATGCCTTTGTCACTTTCGATCAATCAAATGAATAAAAATATAAATTTCTTTAAAAAATTAAATCTTAAGGTACCGACCACCAAGCTTTTGAATGGTAGTATATGTCTACCTATATAGACAAAATAACTCAATTTACGTTATTTACAAGTTACCCTGTTTAAAAGTTTACATACATTTGGTTACTTACATAGGTAAGTTCTTTGGTTTCCCAGCATGTTCTGCACATTTGAATACCTCCTCGCAGTTTCTATATGATGTTGTGATCAATCTTTGCCACTATCACAAACATAAAAGATTATACAAATACAGTATTAAGAACAAACTTTTTAACAGAATAATTTGTGAAAATAAGTTTGTTTCTTTTAATTAGTGTAAATATATTTTATCTTGTGGAATATACTTAAATATATGTGTTATGCAACCTTTTTAAGGCACTACCAAATAAGAGATTTTATCCATCTTGTTTTTAAAAAAAAAAAGATTCTGCAAGGGGTATGTAAACATATGAGCATAACGGTATGACAAATGATATACAATGAACAAAGACTACATGACTGATCTTATGTTTTGCTTCATCTTCAGGCAACACAAACTGATCCAGAGCTGCTTTGGTACTCTCTCTCACTTACGGATTGGTTCTGGTCGGGCAGAGTGGCATGAGTGTGGGCAAGCCCCACCGCTACGACATTGTGTCATCGTCGGAGGAGGACGTGTACCGGCACGGCAACATGCCCGCCCTCGGCAATGGCTTTGGTAACGGCAAAATCCAGACACGCCGAAAGGTGCGGAGCCGCTTTGTAAACAAGACAGGCCAGTGCAACGTCAGTTTCGCTCATATGGACGAGCAATCTCAGCGCTACCTCGCCGACATCTTTACCACCTGCGTGGACATTCGTTGGCGCTGGATGTTTGTCCTTTTCTCCCTTGCATTTGTCCTGTCTTGGCTCGCGTTTGGTTTTGCCTTCTGGCTTATTGCTCTTGTCCACGGTGACTTAGAGCGGCTCACTAAAGATGACTTCACACCATGTGTCATGCAGGTCAACAGCTTTGTTGCGGCGTTTCTGTTCTCAGTTGAGACGCAAACAACAATCGGCTACGGATTCCGCTGTGTAACTGAGGAGTGTCCCTTAGCGGTGTTCATGGTCGTCTTCCAGTCCATTGTGGGCTGCATCATTGACTCTTTCATGATCGGTACCATCATGGCCAAAATGGCGCGACCTAAGAAACGGGCAGAAACGATACTGTTCTCACACAATGCTGTCATCGCTATGCGCGATGGGAAACTGTGTCTCATGTGGCGGGTCGGGAACTTGAGGAAAAGTCACATTGTAGAGGCTCACGTGCGGGCGCAGCTTATTAAGCCCCGAATCACAGAAGAGGGCGAGTACATACCGCTCGATCAGATCGACATCAATGTGGGTTATGACCAAGGTCTCGACCGCATCTTCCTGGTTGCTCCTCTCACTATCCTCCATGAGATAAACGAGGAGAGTCCTCTGTATGGAATCAGCAAACAGGACCTGGAAACATCTGATTTTGAGATTGTAGTCATACTGGAAGGGATGGTCGAGGCGACAGCGATGACAGCTCAGGTACGCAGCTCTTACCTGGCCAGCGAGATCTTATGGGGCCATCGCTTTGAGCCCGTGGTGTTTGAGGAACGCAAACAGTATAAGGTGGACTATTCGCATTTTCATAAGACCTACGAGGTTCCCTCGACGCCACGTTGCAGTGCCAAAGACATGGAGGAGAATAAGTCCTTGGAGTCCGGAGCCAACTTCTGCTATGAGAACGAGTTAGCCTTCATTAGTAGGGATGAAGAGGAGCCAGAAGAGGAGCCAGAAGAGGACAGGGGTGAGAGGGGGACTGAGCTAGAGACCCTTTCAGCCAATCTGAACTTCGATCAGAGGTCATATCACAAAGAATCCGAAATATGACCCTTTGAAGATTTTGCTTTATCGTAGACTCAGTCTGTTCTTCAATTGTCAGTTGTAATGGTTAGCTACAGAGCAATGCAAGTGCCATATGAAACCTTGACCCACTGTCCTAGAACCATGCTGTAGTTGGGGGGCAGGTCAGGAAAAGAAAGTGCTTTTTGTAGTTGTTGGAAATGCGAGGCCTTCCTGTAGGAAAACTTGAAATCTGATTACCTGTTTCATACTGTAGTTTGAAGTGATAGCTTTAAGTAGTATCATTATGCAATACTAAGCTAGCCTGGGTGCCATGTTGACGAAATCTCTCTCTTGTAAAGAAAATTTGCACAAAATAGGTTATTAACCACTAGTGTGTTTGCTTGGATATAGAGTAGAACATGATACACTGTTGTTTTGGTGTGATTTACAGCAATAAAGAGACTTGAAGACATTTATCTATGCTCTCCATATTCCACAGATTTTTTCCCCTTTACGTCAAAGCAAAGACTGCAATGTCTGATAGTTTTATTTTTACCATGTAATGAGGTACTACTTTGGAGGTGTGTGAAAGATAATTAACACCTACACAGATGCTGATTTACTGCTAACTGACAATGAGCTAAATGGTTCCCAGGCTAGCAGATAGCAAAGACACAAAGCTATTTATTCAGT